TACATACATAGATAGATAGATAGATGGATGGATGGATGGATAGATAGATAGATCGATAGATAGATAGATAGAAAGATGAAAAAGAGAGAGAGAGAGAGAGATAGATAGATAGATAGATAGACAGACAGACAGATGGGTAGATATATACATAGATAGACAGGTAGACAGCTAGACAGATAGACAGATGAAAGAGAGGGAGAGAGAGAGAGTTAGATAGATAGATAGATAGATAGATCGATAGATCGATAGAATCGATAGATACATAGGTAGATAGATAGGTAGGTAGGCAGATAGTCAGAGAAAGAGAGAGAAAGAGAGGAGACATCAATCACCTTTCCATCCATCAGTGGCTTCGCTCTGCCATCCGTGATTCACAACAACCAACCTTTCCTATAGGTTTCCTATTTTTGAACTTCCGCCACCGTCTTGTGCAGTACTACTGATATATAAAAAAACAAACGCAATAACAATAACTGTACGCTAACTTTTTACCTCACTTTACCATTCACAATGATGCGTAATTTATGTGATTTAGATGTAAATATAATCATGAATAATCATGATTAAGGACATATTATATACATATATAAATATATATATAATGGTATAGATTGTATGTAACCTGGCACCCTGCGTAACCAAAGGTTTCCTAGCTGTGGCCTCTACAAACCCCTGACCTGACCTGACCCCTGACTGATCGCAGTATACTGCATTCAGCTGCAATCCTTCCACCAAAATGCCAGCCCAGCCATTGCAAATCAAGTTTGATGCCAAGTCAGGACCATCCTTGGCTCATGGTTGACGAGTAACAACATGTAATCCCTTCCCCCTATTCCTAAACCTCCCCCACCCAAATAATAAAAAACTAGGGTTCATCTCTAATTTTGGAAAATTTCAGGTTGGCCAATCTGACTTTTAATTGATCACCTTTAGAAAACAATTTAAAAATAAAGCTACCATTTGTGGGTTTCGCCCCCTAATAATATAAACTAGTTAATGCCGGGGTGTTTATTATTAGGGTCTGTGAAAATTTTGTTTTTTTTTTTACATTAGGGCTTTTAATTTAGTATTAGGGGGAAGCTCCGAAATCCATTTTTTGGCAATATTTGAATTTTGTTGTAAAAGGAAACTGAACTGACTTTGAAATCGAAAAAAATGTTTTTTTATTAAGGGTTTAAATTATTTGTAGGGTCCACTTCGAAATCAAATTTTTGGCAATATTTTAATTGCGTTATAAAAGGAAATTTAAGTGATTCTGAAATCGAAAAATAGGTTTTTGTTTTTAATCGAGGTTTTAATTTTAAAATTTATTAATAGGGTCCGCTTCAGAATCGAATTTTGGCAATATTTTATATAATTGCCTAATAAAAGGATGGTGAATTGATTTTGAAATCATTTTTTTTTGTGATAAAGGCAAAAGGTTTTAATTTATTATTAGGGTTCCCAATAATAAATATCCCCCTAATAATAAAAACTACCGGAGGTGTTTATTATTTAGGGGGGGTTAGTATAAGGGGGAAGGGATTAACAATGTGTACCTGACATTCCTTCACACCTGTGGCCTTCATGAAGAGCCATCATAGGGTCTATCTGACACTTTCATAGAGACACTTTACGTAAGTGAGTACAACTTGGTCCCTGAATCCCTGAGAGCTACTGACCAATGACCCGATCATAATTGTTTGATGGTACATCTGCATCAAACTCATTGACTCAAGTTTTCATTGTCGAACATTGTGAAGCAACTAGCTGCAGCCATGACTCCGACTCGCATGACTTTGGTGCATGGTGCGCGCCGAAAGTCCACACAACACCTCCCATCGCACGCTAATATTGCTTGTTGTCATCAAAGTGGAAAGGATCGGAAAGGAACGTGGCTGAGTCGCAACTTTACAATCAGCAGAAAGCACTGCCACTTCCAACCAAACACTTACTTTCCCACGATTTTCTGCAGATGAAGGGAAGGTGTTCATCCATATCCAAAGTGATTGTAAATCAGCAACTAGCACTGCTGCCATTGGTTTGGTCTGTGATGTCATGTATTTGGGTCAAATGCCTCAAATTGAGATGCGATTATGTTTTTTCAGGTTTCAGCAAAGGGATTATAAGGGATAAGATACCGCTAAGCACCTGCGGCTCACTCCTTATGCTGTAGAGCCGCAACAGCTGTAGTAGATACATGCTATACTACATGGTGTTATACCCGGAGTGCAAATACACCCCCTCAGGTGAGCCGGAACGGCAAGGCTGCCCATTTACGGGGTAGAGGAGAACAAGTTACGCAGTTTCTCCTTTGCGTCAGCGGCTAAATCGGCCATTGCCGTGTTAGGCATGGATGTTGCTCCAGCCACCGCATTTGCAGACTTTGGGGTCGCAAACTCCAACTGGGCACCAGCCTGGCTTTCATCAACCACTTGAATTTTGATCTCAGGCGCGCTGTACTTGTTCAGTTGCTCCATGAGTTGATCTACCCTCTCCTGAAGTTGAAAGTTGAGTTCAGCAGCTTTCATTTCCTGCCTGTCATACTCCTCTCTCAACTCCTGGATAACCGAATGCTCCTCATGCTTGAATTCCTCCATACCCTTTCTTGCATAATCGATTGTATCATCTACGATTCGTTTGCAATCAGCCTCAAGGTTTGTCCTGAGTTCGGAATATCTAGTTTCGTACTGGCTAGCTAAGTGTGAAACCTTTTGGTTTGCTCTTTGCTCGGCCTCCAGCGCAACTGCATTTGCAGCATTCTTGAGCTTTGCATTTGCATCGCTAAGTTCCTTTCTCAGTTTCATGACTTCCTGTTCAGCTGTTGTGCAAATCCAGCGAGTTCTGATGTCATTTGCTCATGTCGGTTTTCAGCTTCCGCACACTGGTGCGCAATTTCAGTAAGGCACGCCTGTTCAAACTCCTGGTACAGTTGCTGAACCTGTTGTTCCATGACCTGTGCGTGTCTTTCTTCGGCTTCGCGTCTGAATGCATCAATGTTGCCTTCATTTATGTAAGTAAGATTGTTCTGCACAAACCGGAAGTACGCTTGGACTGGTTGGTAAAAGAAACCTTCATCTACAGTCATGGGCGTGGGGTTTACTCCAGCCGCATTGGGAACTGGAGTTCCCGGATTTGCAGGTTGCATCGACGCTGTTGCAGGTACAATAGAGCCGTTTCCACCAGAGACATCACCGGGTGGTCTCTCCATAGCTTTAGAGGCTACGGCTGATAACCTGTATTTTCAGGTTTCAGCAAAGGGATTATCAAATAATACCCAAATGGACTGATGAACCTAAAAGGATCTAAAAGGGATAAGATACCGCTAAGCACCTGCGACTCACTCCTTTTGCTAGAGCCGCAACAGCTGTAGATACATGCTATAATACATGGTGTTATACCCGGAGTGCAAATACAGATTCTATTGGTGTGGCTCCTCAGGTCCTGTTGATTTCTGTTGATACGCTTGCAGAATCTTGCAGACGGGTTTCAACGGTTTCCACCCCTCTTTCATGTGCAAAGCCCGCACTGTGAGGCCGCGCTCGGCGCACGACTTGGTAAAACAAACAATCCAGTACTGTGGAAAGATCTTGATGCCCCTTAGATGCACCTAGGATACCGAGGCACCTGGAGGGACTAACAAGTATACAGCAGTCTACAGTATACCTAAGTATACTGGAGCTCCACTACGGGCGTAAACACACACTGTTCAAGCAACATGGCTGAGCAAAACTGATTGCCGAGCGGACTCTCTGCCTGTGTGAAGGCTTTCCAAGAGCTCCCAGAAAGGGTCTACGATGCGAGTGCACCGTGAGATTGTTGCTTCCTCAGCTCCAGTGCCTTTCATTCGACATTTTTTGACTCATCTGGTCTCTTTAGTTTCGTTTTTCCTGGCTCCTCTTGACGCATCTTGACTCCTGGCTCTGACGATCTGCAATGGTCTGCATGGTTCTGCCCGCACAACAAGAATCGCTTGTGCCTGTCCTTCTGATCCCATGCAATCCGCAAACAATCCCAAAACAATCCCCAAATAATCATGTTGTTTGAATTTGTTTGATATGGGGTCGACTTTGAGTGATAAAGTTTAGCGATTTTAGCACCACCTTGTGCAATTTCAGGACCACACACACCTCACCCGGCTGCTCTACGCAGTGTGCAACCTTGCAGACTTCATACAGTAGCCCTTCCAAGAAATGCCGTATTAGCCTAGCAGTCAGCATTCTTGGAGCTGTTGTCTACTCGCAACCGGGGCCTGGTGAGATTTTAGAAGCTGCATCTGTCCCTATCTGTCCCTTCCTAGAGTTTGCCTCTCTCCACTGTTTCCAAGATCAGAAACCGCTTACCGTGAGAGAACGACAAGAATCATGTGACAGCCTGAAGTTTGTCAAGCTTATATACGTCTCCCTGCCCTGCTTGTGACAACAAAACCAACATTGGTGACAACACTGACGACAACGACAACGGCAAAGTTGATGCGGCCCGTCTCCCTTGATGGCCGGTGAGGTAACCCCTCTCAGAAGCTGATGGCCTTGCCCCAAAAATACCAGGAACAAAAGTGAGCCCGCCACTAATCGCCACTGTTGGCTGATACTGTCATATAATTATTGACATTGACATATATTGACATATATTGACATATATTGACATATATTGACATATATTTGATTGTAATATTACATGATAATCATGATATGACTGTACCAACATTCTCCAGGAGGGCAAAGGAGAATGTTACAGCAAATGCACACTGAGCACCGCTCTTACATTTTTACCAATAGTTCAGTGTCAGGCTGCCCTTCCGCTACGAAAAACGAAAACCTTCGAGGTCCACTTCTGACAGAAATAGGGTGATCATGATGCTGATTACACAAGAGACCTGGCATGCTTCTCTAGGACCGTTGGTGATTCTGTTCAGTGCAACTCATTTAGCTCTGCCATCCAAACGGAATGGGGTCACAAGAGTACGCAAGCACTGCTGCAAGATGCCGCAAATGCTGCAAGCATGTTAGTTGCAAGCAATCCAAGAAGACTTTGCGCTTCTGCGACGATGTGCTACCGGCATTCAAATCGTTCAAGCCCAAGCAAGAGCTAAGGCTCATTCCAGCGCTTCAAACACATCCAGGGGCAGTTTCCGCAAATCCTCTTGGGAGGGCTGCTGATGAGAAAGGAATGCGTGTAACATTGCCAAAGCACCAGAATCACCGAGCGTTTGATACATGTGTATATGTATATATATATAATATACGTGTATGTGTTATATATTCACATGAAGGTCTTCGAATGTCTTTACATCTTGTTTAAATAACTACGGATTCAAGTAGTACAAATTAGAAGGGGTCCATAGAACTTTCTTTCCAATCCAGTCCTGCCATGATGCGCAACTCAAGAGTTCTTCTTCTAGCTGCGAACAAACGTGATGCACTGCATTTTCGTATCCTGGCTTTGTCGCCACTCTGACGCAAGGCAAAACATGTCAAATTGCTTGCTGTTGCCGTTGCGAACTCCCTCGTGCCCCCTCGATCCCTCGCTCAAACACTGTGCAAACACACAAGTTCAACATGGCTCTGCGCCGCTCATCAACTGTAGGTTGGACATTACACACCTACTAAAGAAGATGATGATGAACACTGCTTGCATACAATTATATACATACACTATCATACACGATCGTACAGTGTTAGGAATCATTTGAAATATCAGCGGCACGAAGGAGAAAACAACAAACCCGAATTTCCAGAGTGAGAAAAATACTAAGCAACTACTAAGCAACTGACCCCGTGTGCCAAAATATGTGAAGATGTGCCTGCCATGTGCCTGCCATGTGCCAAGGATCTGTTGTGAAGCTCGAGGCAATCTTTGAACTTCACCAGGCACAAGGTGCGATCCATGAGTTCCTAGGAGAAACTCGCGTCAGTTTGTCTTTGACACTCGTGGACCCTCATGTGACGGGCTTGGGAAACTTCATCGCCACTGTCATTGCCACTTTCATTGCCATTCCATGGCTGACTCCGTGGATGCTTCTCTTGTATTCTCTTGTTTCATCGTGTTTCTGACATTGTCCGATTGCTGGCTGAGATGCCAGAGTTCTCAAGACTGCCTGAGAAGTCAAAGAACCTTCCCAAGAAGTTTCAGTAGTTACCAGTAGTACCGCGCAAGGCGGTGGCGGAAGCTTCAAAGATAGGAAACTATAGGAGAGGTGAGTTGTTGTGATGCATGGATGGCAGAGCGAATCCATTGATGGACCAAAAGGCGGCTGTGATTTTTGGAATGGTTTCAGTGGCCACCTCACCCACAACTGCAGGATGTAGTGAAGTGCAATGTATTTGTAGTATCCTCTCAACTACTATCCCCAGACCCTAGGAAACTTCATTGTAGACCCTGGATCTAGGGTCTAAAGTGGGGTCTGGAATGTAAATACCTAGGTGATTCCAGAAACATAACGGAACCATGCTAGACCTTACCTAGGGGTCCGGGAACTTGCACATAACACAGCTATGATACTGGAAGGCTCAGAGAGGTAACTTCACTTTAGACCCCTGGGCCCGGCATCTCCGGCAGTAAGCCTAACATCAAAGCTTGAAGTACCTTCCCTCAGGAGCATATCTCCTATATTCTCTTATTTAAGGGTTATATTGTGGTTATTTCGAGACTATATTGATTTAATATTAGTCTATTTGTTTTACATGCAGATGGAATTCAAATTGACAATTTTTGGGTTATACAATAAACATGAATAAATATTTGTCACACTCTGGTGCCTTAAGATTTCCTAACATAGGGGGTAAGTTTAAAAAACCTGATTTTTCTCGACTCGAGTAAAACCAACTTACCCCAGAGTTATCCTGAACTGTGTCTACCCACAACTTTGAATAAACCAATCCCAAATATCCAAATCTTGCCATTCGACCATTCCACCGAGGGCAGTTTGAAAAAGCTCTGATTAACACGACGCATCCTGACAGCTTCCATTGCAAAATGCTCGCCTTGCATTTTTTCCGCCAGATAGAATTATTTCCACCTTCGAGGTATTTTGGGGTTGGATGTGTAATTATGTGATGTGACCCAATATGTTTTTCTTATCTTTTCCTCATCTTCATGGGTCTGAAATGGTTTACCACATCCTGAAACCAGAAATATTCACCACAAATGCTATGGGAACATCATTTCAGACCCATCAAGATGGACCATTCCCAACTATACAGAAGAGAAACCATCACCATCAACATATCAGAAAGAATGTCAGAAGATATGCCAGATAGAATGTCAGAAGATATGCCAGATAGAATACCAGAAGATATGCCAGATAGAATGTCAGAAGATATGCCAGATAGAATGTCAGATAGAATGCTAGAAGATTTGGCAGATAGAATACCAGATAGAATGTCAGAAGATATGCCAGATAAATTATATTTTCATCTTCATGGGTCTGAAATGGTTTACCACATTCTGAAACCAGAAACATTCACCACAAATGCTATGGGAACATCATTTCAGACCCATCAAGATGGACCATTCCCAACT